AATATGCACTAATTTTGTGTTTATATATTTAGGGAAGAAGCAGCTAATTTAAAAAAAATACAAATGCAGTATATTGCTATAATTTATTTGAATGAGAAGTGTTATGTGGGATTTTGAGTGCTTGGCTTATGTGTGCCTGGCAGCCTAATAATCTGCTGATTTGCAGTAAGTGTCCATAGGGACCCATGAATACAAGCTGCCTCAGTCTGCATTCTAAACCTGGCATTTTAGAAACTCTCTAAAGATAAACCGTAGACTTCAGCTGCTCAGAGAAAGCCAATATGGTATCAAATGAAAAATGCTGAACTTTTCTCAAATTCTTGAGAGAGCTTCTCTTAAAATTGTTATTCTGTAAACCACTCAGCTTGTTGCAATGCAAGCATGACTGGGTATTGTAAATGATGTGGTTAGTCATCAAGCTGTATGCCTTATCATCAGTAGATGATCCTATACCCTGGACCAGACACAGTAAAATACAGCATATGGGCAGATTTGGGAGGACTTAGCTGAGGATTCTAGCCTTATCTCTGAATTTTTTGTCAAGACAGCTTTATATTTTGATGTAGTAGTTTTGCGTGGATTGAGATATTGCTTAATTTTTATTTTAGAAAGTAGTATTGTCTACACATTTCACTACATAATAATCTGGACAGGACTGTTCTTTGGTTTCTGTGTCTAAGTGCAGTTTTCTCATTGAGAAACCAAGAGAAAACATAATTAGCATTAGTGTCTGATCCTTAGTTTATTTTGCTGCTATATAAGTAGCCAACTTTCCCAAGTTAATCATGGCTTGCAAATATTTAGGGTTTTGCTAGGCACAGCTGGCGGTGGGGTCTACCAAAGAACAGATGTCTCTTAGCTTTGGGGTTGGTTCTGTGCTGACTCTGGAATACTTTATGCGGCTCTAGAGTACAATTCTGACTATAGCAGCCAAAGGAACTATTTGCCAGTAGAAAATATTTGGAACGCAACAGCATCCTGTTTGTGTTTCCTCTCATTCCGGTTAATCGCCATGTTGAGAGTTAGTGTAGGCGCCATCTACACCAGCTCTACAGCAGCTGGGGATTTCCCCGTGCCAGATGAGATAAGGTCAGTCTGCTTTTTAGATCCTGTGGAGTGCATCATTATATCTGGTCCCTGTTTTTTAACATGAGCTTGTGATTGGGCCTAATACAATTCATAACTTCAAAACTACTGAACTGATTTTCTTTGAAACAGCTTTGTTTTGTAGATTACACTATTTAAAATGACATTTCTATTTAATTATATATTGGTAAATAACTTGTAATCAGAGGCCACGTTAAGGTTTAAACACAAAGAAGCAAAGTTAAGATTGAGTTTAAAAACATTTACTGTGTTTCTCCTTATATTCGAATGTTTGATTTCTCACTGTGAATATTGCATTGTTTGACCTGCAAATGTTTTAAACACAACTGGCTTTGCCCACACTAGAGAAAAATGGTGTTTAACATTGTAGTAGTTAAAACGTGTTAGTCAATATATTTTCTGATTGCTTGCATTTTCCCGGTGTAAAAAAGGTAGGGTACATGGTTACAGTGAAGTGCAACTTCAGATTGACACTAGGGATGTTAAATTGTGGTTAATTGACTAGTTGAGTAGTCGATGAAATTTCCACTGCTTTGAAATGTACAAGAATCCCCATCGGGGAACTCAGAGTCATGGAGCCCGGGGTCAGCGTGGGACTCCCCAGCTGACCCCAGGTTCCACGCAGCACTTCCCCAGAACCTGGGGTCAGCTGACTATAGCACACGCTGCCTTGGTTCTGTTACCCAGAGTTCTTTCAACCCAAACCTCTTGGTAACTTTTACTGTCTGCGAGGTGGTGTTAGGAAATAATTCAGGGGAGACATGGTCGTCTGACCAATAGATGGATGGTACAAACAGGACAACACAAGAGTGCTTTCACTTAAAGCTAAACTTTACTTAGTTACAAGCACTTACACACGTCAGCAACAGGTTAGTAAAACACCCCCACCCTCGATAATTACCGAAGTTCAGTGTGGCTCTCGAGTGAGGCTTCTGATGGCCAGTCTTCTGTCTGCCAGTGGGGACGAAGATGTGTCCAGAAGTGAAGAGTCCTCAAGGAGTCCTCGAGGCGTCCCTTCAAGTGTTCCCAGAATTGCCCCCCTCCCCAACTCAAACTTTTCTTCCCTATTTATCCATTAGTTATTACCAGGGCCTGACAATCTATTGAATCTACTCACCCGTGGCGAGTAGATTTCAGTCCGGCGCCCTGTTTACCGGCGGCGTGTGCATGTGCAATGCGGCTCTTGCGCATGTGCAGTGCGGGGCTGGCGAGTGGCTTTCGCCACGGTTCGTCAAGCCCTGGTTATTGCAATAACATGTCACTCAAAAACTTGATAGGCAAGCACTTTTTAAAGGTTAAGCAAGAGGTTTTCTTCTGATCATCACTTTCACCAGATGCGTTTTTTCTTTTTCAGAGACTCCCTGCTCGGGGGCATATATGTCTTAGGGCATTTAGACAAACTTCCTGTTTTTCTTAATGTATAGTTCAGCGATTTCACTAGAGATTTGCGCCTCAGGAAGGACACGGGGTCAAGCTGCCCTCTTTGTGGAACCCAAACTCCCCTTCTTCCCCATCCGCAGCATGGAGTCCAGGGTCAGTGGGGGATTCCCCAGCAGATCCCGGGCTCTTTGTGGCATTTCAGCGGAACCCAGGATCAGCTGGGGACTCCCCAGATGACTGCAGTTTCCATGCGACATTTCCCCAGAACCTGGGGTCAGCCAGCTGACCCTGGGTTCTGGGGAAATGCCACTTGGAACCTGGGGTTAGCTGGGGAGTACCCAGCTGATCCCGGGCTCCATAGCACTTCAGCATTTTAAAGGAGCAGTGCCACACAGCTGAGCTGCGGATCAGCTATGCGGCGGCTGCCTCTATCTCAGAGACAGCAAGGGGGAAGAGAAATTGACTAATTGACAGGGACAGGCAGGAGCCAATATGCGCAGGGAGCCAGCTTTTAAGCCGACTCTCCTAATATGCTGGCTCCACTGACCTGCCTTGCCCTCGCCTTGTTGCCTCCTATTTAGGCAGCGGGTGTGGGGGAGGGAGGGAGGAAAGGCAGCAGGCTTAAAAGTCTGCTGTCACCAGTATTGGCTCCATACTGTCATCCCTCTCCCCCATGCTACCATGAAGCAGCCTCTCTCCACAGCGGGCATGAGCATGATAGAGAGGCAGCAGCGTGGGGTGGCAGGTGGCTCCCTGTGAGTGAGGCCGGAAGTGCACTGGCTACCAGCCCCACCCCTAGGGACTGTTGAATAGTTGTGTAATTGCTAAAATTTGATGCGGTTACATGATTATTCAATCTAATATCCCTATTTCAGACGCTCAGTTGAGCATCTTGTTCATTTGGTGGTGCTGACTTTCCATTCCTCAGTGGCCTGTGTGTTGAATGTGGGAGTTCTCACAACAGACATGGTTATACTTCAAGTATTACAGAATTCCTATCAGATTGATTTACCGTTGTTAGTTTTACCACTATGATGGTTTTCTGGGATAGCCACATTAATCTTACTATATATTTTAGATATGTGCATCTGCCTGCCTGTCTGTCTGTGAGTCTGTTTGCTCAATAACTCCTCCTAAATGATAAGAGCTAGGACCACCAAATTTGGTTTGCAGTTTCTTCTTATCGTAACTTAAAGCAAGGTCAGGGTTTGGTTGTGCCAGGATAATGGGATGTGGGTGGAAGACACAGAAAAGGAGGGGTGTGATATCAGGTACAGTTATACTCACACATGACCACAGAGGGACACACATGATCAAAGTGCCCCAGTGAGCAGTCGTTGCTGGTAGCACAGCCCCCTCCACACTGGTCTACCCCCTGGAGCATTAGCCAGCCACCATGTGCTGCCCCCAGGGAGCTCTGGCCAGCCATGCGGTGCGTCCCCCCCATCCCTGGGCTGGCCATGTTGTACCCCCGTGATTCTGGGGAGAAGCTGGCAGCCACTTCCACTCCCTGTCCTGAGCCTTTCACCCGCTGCCCTGAGTCTCCCTCCTGCCAAGACCCTCCTCCTCTAAACGCCCGGCTCTGACTCCTGCACCCTTCACCTCATACTCTGAGCCCTTCCTCACCCTGACTCCTGCACACCTCACCTCCAGCTCTGACTCCTGCACATTAGTTAAGATGCAAATGCTCTCAGTAACTAAGAATGGAAGGTTCCTTCTCTTAAATTTATCACTCGTTATTCTAGTGGGAAAAATCTGGGAGGTTTGGAATATGGAAAAAAGAGACACTCCTTTCTGCAACTCCTACAGAAAAATCTCCCACTCTCATTTAGACTTCATATTTCTGAATCTCTGAAAGACATTCTTGCCACTAAATTAAAAATGCACCTAAATAAGTGGAGTATCTTGCAATCTTGTAAGTAATGTGGTATGGAATGAAGTGTACTTTGAAATGACTTACATTTGCAGATTTAGTTTTAGGTTTAGTATTCTTTCCATTCATCTGATTAGAATAATTTCAGCTACTCTGACAGCCAGCATGTGAAAATGAAACTGCCTTTCTCTAATGTTAACAGCATTGTTGCTTCAGCCACCTGGCCCACACCAATAAATGTCTACATTTAAATTTGCTTTATCAAATTTAGTTTGATTTTTTAACATCTTACATTTCAAATGTGCTTGTGGTAGTTAATTATTTAAATAAAATCTGAACTTGGCTTAAAATTTAAAGTATATTTGTTTTGCCATTATTTGTAAACTTCGAAGGCTCCCAAGTTAAAAAAAAAAATGATCTTCATGGGGAAGCAGCTAATTAGGTTTTGGTTAATTCAGTTGCAGAAATAATTTTGATAGTCAGAAAAAGTCCTCCATTTGTGTGTACAGTATATTACATTGACCTACAGTTTTGAATATATTCAAGGGAATTTTCTCCTACTAAATCTAGGGAGTGGATAATGGAATATTGTTAACTGAATCTTGGATACCTGTTGTTAATCCGGTCTCTGTTTTTACAGGTTCAGACAAGGAACTGGGTGGTATTTTTCTGACAAATGGAGAACTATTTCCAAGCAGAGGCATATAACCTTGATAAGGTTTTAGATGAATTTGAACAAAATGAAGGTGAGTGACTTTTGTGAAAAGGGTGTAGATGAATGTGTTTGATATTATACAGCGACAACTGTAGGTGGGGGAGGGGAGTATAGCATCCTTTTCATTTTCATAAATTACAAACTGATTTCATAATTTGCAAAGCCACCAGTGAATTGTACATGGTTTTCCTTAGCAGTGGACAGCATCTCATAATCAATTTCTTCAACCGGTTTTGAAGTGTTTTATATTTAACTGTTGATGTAGGAAACTTTTAGAAGGATATTGTCAGAATTGTAACTTGTATTTAAAGGGTTTTACAAATCCTAATAGTGGAGATATTGATGTGGATTGTTTTTAACAATTCAGTGAAAACAGTTACTTAAACATGCTTCTTCAGTATTGGGAGAACCAGGCACCCTGGCAAAAATGCCGCTGCACATAAACCATAGAGTGAAGGTGATCATATTCTAAGTGTAAAATCTCTGCATACTCTAATTTCCTCTTTCCTATTGCAGAGGAAAGCAAGCATTTTTTGTATGTTGTGTCGTCTTCCCCCTTTCTACATCATGTATCAATTAGTTAATTAAGACTTGCCTGTTCAGAGTAGAACTGGACAACTGGTCATACAGCTTAAAGATGTTCTTTTCCAGAAATTCTGTGCAACATCAGTACATGTTGATCTTGTGTACTTCAGTATTAGCAAAGTGGTCTTTTACTGTTGTGCCCATATTAAGACATCTATTCATTTTTCTTTAGGAATAGTTTTGGTTACATAAAAGGATTACAGCAGAGGTGGGGCAATAATTTTTGATGGGGGGGCCACTCCAAGATTTTTGAAAATGGTCAAGGGTCACAGTCTTCCAGGCTATTAATGATGGAATTCCAGGGTTTGGGATGGAGGTTGGGCACAGAAGAGAGCTTTGGGTTAAAGGACTGGGGTACAGGAGGGAGGGAGTTTGGGTGAAGGAGGCAGTTGTGGTCTAGGATAGAGGCCTGGGATGCAGGATTTTGGGATGTGACCTAGGATAGGAGGGTACAGGCAGTCCCCGGGTTACGTACAAGATAGGGACGCCTGGGGCAGAGCAGCTGGGGTGCTGCCGGGTTGGTCCAGTAGTGCCCACGGGCGCTGCAGGACCAATCGGCAGCGCCCCAGCTGCTCTGCCCCAGACGTCCTGATTCAGCCGCTGCTGAAACTGACCAGCAGCGGCTGAATCAGGACGTCTGGGGCAGAGCAGCTGGGGTGCTGCCGGGTTGGTCCAGTAGTGCCCACGGGCGCTGCAGGACCAATCGGCAGCGCCCCAGCTGCTCTGCCCCAGACGTCCTGATTCAGCCGCTGCTGAAACTGACCAGCAGCGGCTGAATCAGGACGTCTGGGGCAGAGCAGCTGGGGTGCTGCCGGGTTGGTCCAGTAGTGCCCACGGGCGCTGCAGGACCAATCGGCAGCGCCCCAGCTGCTCTGCCCCAGACGTCCTGATTCAGCCGCTGCTGAAACTGACCAGCAGCGGCTGAATCAGGACGTCTGGGGCAGAGCAGCTGGGGTGCTGCCGGGTTGGTCCAGTAGTGCCCACGGGCGCTGCAGGACCAATCGGCAGCGCCCCAGCTGCTCTGCCCCAGACGTCCTGATTCAGCCGCTGCTGAAACTGACCAGCAGCGGCTGAATCAGGACGTCTGGGGCAGAGCAGCTGGGGTGCTGCCGGGTTGGTCCAGTAGTGCCCACGGGCGCTGCAGGACCAATCGGCAGCGCCCCAGCTGCTCTGCCCCAGACGTCCTGATTCAGCCGCTGCTGAAACTGACCAGCAGCGGCTGAATCAGGACGTCTGGGGCAGAGCAGCTGGGGTGCTGCCGGGTTGGTCCAGTAGTGCCCACGGGCGCTGCAGGACCAATCGGCAGCGCCCCAGCTGCTCTGCCCCAGACGTCCTGATTCAGCCGCTGCTGAAACTGACCAGCAGCGGCTGAATCAGGACGTCTGGGGCAGAGCAGCTGGGGTGCTGCCGGGTTGGTCCAGTAGTGCCCACGGGCGCTGCAGGACCAATCGGCAGCGCCCCAGCTGCTCTGCCCCAGACGTCCTGATTCAGCCGCTGCTGAAACTGACCAGCAGCGGCTGAATCAGGACGTCTGGGGCAGAGCAGCTGGGGTGCTGCCGGGTTGGTCCAGTAGTGCCCACGGGCGCTGCAGGACCAATCGGCAGCGCCCCAGCTGCTCTGCCCCAGACGTCCTGATTCAGCCGCTGCTGAAACTGACCAGCAGCGGCTGAATCAGGACGTCTGGGGCAGAGCAGCTGGGGTGCTGCCGGGTTGGTCCAGTAGTGCCCACGGGCGCTGCAGGACCAATCGGCAGCGCCCCAGCTGCTCTGCCCCAGACGTCCTGATTCAGCCGCTGCTGAAACTGACCAGCGCTGACTACAGGAAGCCCGAGGCAGAGTTGCTCTGCCCCAGGCGTCCCTATCTTGTACGTAACCCGGGGACTGCCTGTATTGTAATCTGCGGCAGGAGATTAGAGTGCCAGATCTGGGAAGAGCTATGGGTGCAGGAGGGGGGAGAGGATTGGGGAAGAAAGGGATTGGGGTGCCAGAGGCAGGCTCTGGCTGGGAGGCACTTAACAGCAGAAACCTGGAGCAGGCAGACTGCTGCAGGCATCTCGCTGCTCCATGTGGCTCTGCTCTGGGCATGAAAGGAAGGAGAAAGGGGAGAGGGGACGAGGAGGGAGGGAGAAGGCTTCCTACACTGCCCCTGCTCCCAGTGAAAATTCTCAGCTTCTGTTGGCCGGAAACTGAGAGATTGGCCAGGAACTAAGAGATTTTGTTGGGGAGGCAGGAACAGTATGAGAAGTCTCCCTCCCCAGCCTTCCGAAGAGGAGAACATCTGGCTTTTTAAAATGTAAACTGATCTCTGCCTAAGGGTTCCAGTGAGGTGGCTGGGGGCCAGATCTGATGGCTTGGTGGACCGGATCTGGCCTGCTGGCAGCCTCTTGGCCACCCCGGGATTACAGGAACCACAGGTGGTTATCTATCTTAAAAAGTAAGAGTTGGGGGAGTTATGTCACTGTGATGGCTTATAATATAGTCATTATTTCAACTATTAATTTTTCAGATGATGCTGTTTCACCTCCGTTATTGGATGTAAAGTGGAATCAGGTTCTAGATCCCCCTTCTCATCGGCTGTCATGTAATCCAGCTCTTTCCAGTGTGAATGAAGCTTCAGTTCCTAATGAGTGTCAACAGAGATTAAAATCTTTCTCCCTGGCTCATTCAACCACCACCTCACCAGGAGGAGAGGGGGATTGTTGTGCTAATGGAATGGATCTTAGTATAAATCCAGAGACGCCAACTGTGTGGATTGATGATCAGGCAACAGCAGATGATCATTTAATGAAGAGAAATAGTAATCAGGATGATCAGTGTAATACTATGGAAACAGGAGAAAAGAAATGTGGAAATACAGCCTGCTTGCCAGATGAGAAAAATGTTCTTGTAGTGGCAGTCATGCATAACTGCGACAGAAGGACTCTACAAAGTGGCAATTTGCCAGATTGTAAAAATTACAGCACTCAGTCCTTAATGGACTCTATTAACTTTACACTGGATAATGAAAACCGACAGAATGATCAGTTTGGTGTTACTGTAAATGGATCCACTGAAAAAGATACAGATACAGAAAAGCAAGGAGTACAGTTAAATCGACTGTATGCTGAGGCTGACTCTGTTAGCCATTTGATTAATACTTCAGCTGATAGTTTGACCAATGCATGCACCCCCCCACGATTAAAGGATGATTTTAATATGAATAGAGACTGTCTGTTCTCAGAGTCTACAATTGCAGGGATTAATGCAGTGACCTTATTGCAGAGACCAGTTGATGGCACTCTTAAAACACAAGAGAGTTGTGCATCAATTGAGGATTTTACTAACAAAGCAATTACTCAAAGAAAAGACCTGGAAGCTAAAAATTCTTCTCTTGGTTCAAGTAGTGGAAGCTTGTTAGAGGAAGCTGTAGAGAAGCAAACATCTCAACTGTATCCATCTGGGTTACCGGTGCTCTCTGAAATGTGTCAACCAAATATACCTGAAAGTGGCAATTACAGTGAATGCTTTGCAGAACGTCTTGCTTCTGATAATGTTAGTGCTGTGGAAGGCGAAGTAGGTGAATGTGACAAAATTCTCAGCACAATTGAATTGTTCAGCGTGGCAGAGTGTTTCCCTGAATCTCAGGAGATGACTAATTGGGAATTGACTAAACTGAATGAGATGAATAATAAGCAAAATCATGGAGAAAGTGAAAGACTTTTGCAGATGAAAGAGCCTGAGAAGGCTTGCAATAGTAGAAAAGGTGAAGATGGGATGATGGAGGCAAGCATGGACATCAAGGGGACTAGCATAGATGAGCTTGAAGGATCCAGTCTCTCTGATGTTATGGGTACATCTGTAGCAAACTCTCTGTCTAATGGTTGTGATTCCTATGGAATGCAGAACCCAATTGTTGCTCATATTCCAAAGACTTTACCCTCTAAAGAAGACTCAGTGACAGAGGAAAAGGAGATAGAGGAAAGCAAGTCAGAATGTTACACTAGTGTTTATGAACAAAGAGGAAATGAGGCTGCTGATGGGAGTGGTCTTATTTTAAATAGCACTGGTGACCAAATGAAGAAAAATTATTTACATAATATCTGCAGTCAGGTACCAGCTGTGCAAGGGCAAACATCACCAAAACCGGTAACTAATCTGCTACCTATCAGTGCTCCATTTGGTGGTGCAAGACCCAAACAACCTACAAATCTTAAACTGCAAATTCCAAAGCCATTATCGGACCATTTACAAAATGACCTTGTTCCCCCAAACTGTGGAGGTAATACTAAAAATAAAAATGATATCTTCGGTAAGGCAAAAATAGGGGAAACCTTGGCAACAGATATGTTTCCTGATGAGACTTCATTAAATGCCTCTATTACTGATACTACTGGGGAACATTTAGAAGAGTATGAGTCTGGGGTGTCTAGTAGTCCGTGCCTTGCAGTAGCTCCAGATAGTCCAGATAATGATCTCAGAGCTGGTCAGTTTGGAGCTCCCACCAGAAAGCCATTTACTACTTTAGGTGAGGTGGCTCCAGTTTGGGTTCCAGATTCTCAAGCACCAAACTGCATGAAGTGTGAGGCCAGATTTACATTCACCAAAAGGAGGCATCATTGCAGAGCTTGTGGGAAGGTAAGTTCATATTCAGTGACAAAACCTTGTGTTCCCTTTTTTGTGGTACTGTGCGCACGCGCACACACACATGCATACATACACACACAAATCAGGTGACCACACAAGCCACTGGCCCCAAAGCCACTGGCTACTGTTGCCTCTGATATCTGTTGCAACACACTTCATTTGATTTGGTTAGTTTCTTCTTTAAAAGTCCCTAGATTCTCACCTAGTCTTCATTGGTCATATTACTTTAATAGAGAAGAAATATGGGTTATTCATGGTGGCAAAAATGATAATCCTGTTAAGTTTATTTGATTGTAGCTGTTAACAGATATTGAATTCATGTAGGACTGCTATAAAATAACTAATGCAGGAATTTGTTTCAGAAATCACTGAATCAATAATTTCTATTAATAACACTGGAACATGTTGATGGAGATTGGAAGTAAGATGTTGAACTTCTACTTTATTGCTGGTTAACATTGTTGACTATTGCAATTATTTTATGCCTCCTTTACTCACTTTGTATTTACAAAAATCTACAGTATTTACAAAAATCTACAGTATTTACAAATCTACAGTATTTACAAATCTACAGTATTTACAAAAATATATCCTGCTTTTGAAAAAGTCTGTTGACTATATTAAGTATCTCCCAAATTTGATTGATAGGTGTATGTTGATATAGTTAGTGTGAGGAATTGGCTGGACAATTCAATAGTTAGTGTGAGGAATTGGTTAGACAATTCATTTACATGTAATTTTATATATATATATATATATATATATTATGAAAAAATATATGTCTTTGAAAATTATGACTGAGTTTATTTCTTGGTAAGAAGTTATTTTTATGTATACACTATATACATTAGATAGGACTACATTAGTTTAGTGCAAATATGGCATTTTTCTGATAACGTAGATCTTAAGTATTTGTAAATATTTTTTTTCTGAAGTATAAGTAAATGACGCATCACTGGAAATAGAAATCTGTAAAACTAATCACATTATTCAAATTTAATTTAAAAAATACTAGGCTAGTAGATAGTCATGAATTACTTTAAAAAAGGTGAAAATGGAACATCAGTGCATTGTAAAAATAAATATATAAAAGTAAAATTGGTTCATTTAGGATCCAATCCAAAGGCTTGTGAAATCAACTGAAAAATTCCCAAACTTCTCTGGGGTTTGGATTAAATCTTTAGCTGCCAGAATATCACGGGGAAGCAAAAAGGCATGAAAAGAGGACCTAAAAGAATCAAATTCAGCAAACATAGATTCATATCTGTCTACTCTAGAAGGGAGACTTGCTGAAAAAATTGAGTCCCATATAGCTTAAAACTTGTGCTTTGAGGAGAATGATTCTGTTCAAACCCAATACAGGTTGAAACTCTCTAGTTCAGCACCCTTTGGTCCAGCAACATCCGTGGTCTGGCATGGTTTTAGTTAGCCGGATATCCACTACTTATGAGTGTGTCCAAGTTTTCCCCATCCCATAAAGTTTGTTTACAGCTACCATTCTTGGCTCCCAGTGTTCTGTGCTGTTGTTTAGCTCTAATTTATTCCTAAGTGTTTTCTTTCAAGAGCCTAGTAGGCAGTGGAAGTGTTGGTAATACTGCTAAACAACATTGACCTCCCATGGTCTGGAAAATTTTCTGGTATGGCACTGATTAGGTCCCGAGGGTGCCGGATTAGAGAGGTTCATATTGTATTTGGTTTGAACGGAATCATTCTCCTTAAAACACAAGTTTTAGAAGTGATATTGATGCCCATTGGTCCTTCTTTCTCTGCCTGTGGTACACAGTCATTTAGTCTTCTAAAGGCTATAATATTTTGGTCTGTTTCTGGTGGTGGCTGTGTGTTATTTAGTGGCCTTGTGATATATAGGAAGTCAGAATAGATGATCTAGCACAGGTTGGACCTCCCTGGTCCAGCATCCTTGGGGACCTGAATGGTCTCAAACCAAGGAGTTTGCCGGACCAGGGGAGGTCAAGGCTTCCCTCCCCGAGTGTCAGCCTTACTGACTGAGCTCTGCTCCTGACCCTGGTTGTACTCGCAGCTACGCTGTGCTCTCAGCCATGCTGGCCCTGTGCACTCTCTGCTGCACTGGGGCTGCACTCTGAGCCATGTGGGCCCCACTCTTGCCAGCCGGGGTTGTGCTTCTGATCCTGGCTGCCCCCAATCCCAGCCGAGCTCTCTGTTCCAGCAGTGTCCGTGGTCCTGCCAGAACACACATGTGGCTGGATCAGAGGGTACCAGATTGTAGAGTTTCAGCCTGTAGTTGGTTCTAGCGTTGAACTAGCTCTGAGACTAGTTGACTGTTGCTGAATGAGAAACAAAAGGTGAACATGACTGAAGGGTAAACAGAAACACATCTCTAAATAGACAACACAAAGGGCAAAAATAAGGTAGATTTTTAAAATGTTTGATGTTAGTCAATTTACTGGGAATATTTTAGATTGTTAATGTTTTTTTTAAATCTGAGTTATCACACAGCAGTTTCTCTTAAAACTAATCATTGTGGCAAAAAGTTATACAAGTCCCAAGAATAAAAACAGCATTTAAAAATAATTGAATGGTATCTAGAATAGGGATATAAAACTGTGTTTTAAAAGGTGACCGTGTAACCGCTAAAAATCTTAGTGCTTACACGGTTACACAAGTGGCAGGCTATGTAGTATAAAGTTTAGCTTAGCTTTATACTGCAGAGTGCAGTCTTTTCTGGAGAACCACAGCATGTAACTTGGTGGGGAGAGGGGCCAGGCTGAGCCAACCCAGCCCTGCCATGGACAGGGCTGCTCCAGCCACCTGGCTGCTGTGGGCCCCATAGGACTGGAGCACCCTTCTGCCCAGAGCAGGCAGGTTGCTGCTCCAGCCCCTACCAGTTAACGGGAACCAGTAAACCTCACTTGTTAAGGGCGAGACTTACTGGTTAACATTTTACATCCCTAATCTGCAGAAAGTATTGCTGTTTTAATTTGCATGGTAATTGAAAAAATCAGTATGAGCCACTGAACGTCAGGGGAGATGACCGAAATTAAACATGCATGTTTACTAAACTTTGCTAAACTTGAATCTGAGAAATGTTTATATATTTTATGGGAAGCTTGATTTTAATTGTTTATATTTTGTATGTGTATTTTCTATTGTCATCTGTAATAGTTCCCTGTGATATCCTTGTATAGAGCATATGGAGTATTTGTATGTGACATTCTGTTGTGTAAGTGGAAACCAGTGATTCTCTTTGCACTAAAGTAAAACAAAAACAAAAAACCTTTTAATTGCACTGCAAATTTGCTGCATTTAGACAAGCTGCCACTTCCTGCTACATGAGATACTAATTGCTTGACAGTTGCTTTCAAATGTGTATTGCCGAAAACCAGGAACACACACTTCAGTTTCACCTTAAACTTATATATTTGATTATATACAACACCTGCACTCCGCCTACTACAGTGTTAACTGCCAGTGACAGCAGGTGTTAATGTTTTAGTGTGCTATTTGTTTAGTATTTTGATCACAGAAATCATTGTGCTTGAAAAGCTTTGTTGAATGCAGAATGTAATTGTCTTCAAAGGGTCCTGAACTAGAAATTAATTAGTTGAGTCCTTGGTTTGTGGTTGAGGACATTGATTTTTCCATGTTGTGTAATTGCCCTCTTAGTTTATATCTGAACTGAATTTTCCACTGGATAGGGTTCTCTAAGAAGTTAAATGAAGCAGACTATCTCAAAGTAAATTAATCTGAAAACAGTACAGGTAATATTGCTCAGAAAGCTGGTAAAGTGGATTGAAATAGTGATAGATATCAGTACCTATTTTTCTAACTATATGACTTAATTTGTTAAAAAATATTTTACACAGGAAAATAAATTGTAGTTTCTTCCATAAGTATGAAACATACATTAATTAATATTTACTTGCTCACATTTTGCTTATTAAAATGTGAAATAAAACACTTTTCAATAAACACATATAATTAGAGAATAGGAAATTTTACAATTTACACACCATTGGATTGGATTATCCTGGTAACAAAATTGCTATTCCAGCTCTTATACTTGTATGCTAAAATCTTCTCTCAGGTTTGGGCCTCATCACTACATTGCAAACTTCAACAGAGTTAAAGGACCTATTTACAAAATAGCTGCCCCTTATTACAATATGGCTAAAATTCTTAATGCACACTAGACCAAATTGCATCCTTTTAACTGGGCTAGGAGGTAAACAGACACTATGATGTTGACTTTTGGAACAGAGTACTCTGTCTCACTTGAAGCTGAAAGGCAGGCAGTGCGTGAAGCTTGTGCACTCAAAGCAGCACATGGCTTCAGCAGCTGGCTGCTCTGAGCAATGTGTGTGGGCAGGGCAGGCTGGAAGCCTGCCTGAGGAACCTGCTGTGTTGCTAGCTGGGAGCCGCCCAGCCAGCACCTCCCGGCCACAGCCTGCCTCTGACATGCCCCCCCCCATCCTCTTCCTCTCCTCCTGCACCCCTACCCCATGTAATCCAAACTTCCTCTCTGCTCCTGCACCCATACTCCAGGTAACCCAAACCCTTGCACCCCTGCCTCTTCAGCCAAACTCCCTCCCAGACCCTGCACTCCAACCTCCTGCCCCAGAACACAGCCCCTTCTTTCATCGAAACTCCCTTTCAGCCCTCACACCTCCTCTTGCACCCCAGTCTCCTACCCTGAGCTCCCTTCTGAACCCAGCCTCCATCCCAGACCCCACGTATCCTCCATAAATATCATGGAAGAGAGCGGCCCATGACCACTTACAAATTCTTGGAGTGGTCCCCCTCCTGCCCTATGGAAAGGATTTATGTGGGATTTGTGAGATAGGTACCCATAATGCATTGATATACAGGGATTGAGAGATGTGTTATGGGCTTATAGATAGCCATGGTGACTGGTGCTGTTCTGGTGATTCATTTGAACTAATGAGAGTTGCAAAAGTGCAGGTCTCAAGTGTAGAGACAAAATGGCTGTCCTTTCTTCTGAAATGTATCTCTCAATTCCCTTACCCACTCAGTTTTGGCTTTGATTTAAGTGACTGCAGAAACTGCCTGAGCACCTTCCCCATATTGTGTTTTAAATATGATTCATTCCAAAGTGCTATAGTGTGGCTACTATTTTAATTCCCAAATCCTCAATTCACTGAGGCATTACATATATGATTTCCTGGACAATTAGCCATTATCCCACACCTACGTTTTTAAATTACTCCTGCATGGAACTTGTGTGTACATTTGTATTGTTGCAGATAGCACTTACTAGGATGAAAGAAGACTGACACAAAGTCATTTGATTTAAATGAATTTCACTGAGTCATGGTTGGAGGATTATTGATCATTTCCCTCCTAAATTTTGAACCTTCTAAAGCTATTTAAATTACTCTTATCATGAAACATTGAGTGATTCAGTACATCTTTTTTTTGCTCTAGGTTTTCTGTGCAGCATGTTGCAGTCTGAAATGCAAGTTGCTGTACATGGACAGAAAAGAAGCCAGAGTGTGTGTAATCTGCCATTCAGTACTAATGAATGGTAAGTAAAAAGACAGGGACTAAATGCAAAGCTTTACTGGACCTGTGTTGGTCAGTGGCTGCTGTATGCCTATCCTATTGAAGACACTGTATTCTTACTGGCAAATATTTAAAAATGCAAAGGCTCTAGAGAAATCAACTTGCCATCATTGTGCAACTTGGGGATTCAGTACCACCTGTAATTAGAGAAACCTAAAATCAGGGAAGGTTTCAGAAAGGTTGAAAGCTTATTTCATAAAGCACTTGTGCCTGGATTTCAGAAAACTTGTTTTGTATGGAGGAAAATGTGGAAGCTTGCTCTGCTTGTGTTCTTAACAAATGGCTCGCTTGTTATGCTTTCATAAAGGAGATCAAAGGGAAGAAACCCACATTTTGTCCTAGACATATATCATAGGGAAATCATGTAAGTAACCTTAGTCCAAAAGAAGATGCTGCTTCATTTGCGATGAGCTGACCTATTAAATAACATCCCTATTATTAACTCCTTGGTGTCAGAGGAGGAAGTCTGGTGTAAAGGATGGAATACAGAAACAACTCTTGAGGCATGAGCACAGCTAAACAACTCTTGTGTTCTGATCCTGGCTCAGGGCATACTACTGGCTAATCAGTAGCACATGAGCTCTTGTTGTACTTAAAGTATCACATGGGATCTTTTCAGGTGGATAAGGCAAAATGCCACATTTAGTGGTGATACATATAGCAATGAACACTCATCCTATGTATATGAGATAACACTCGCACACTCAAGCATGCTCCGTCTTGTTGTTACCAGTAGTGCTGTCTTGTTGTTACCAGTAGTTGCTCCCCCTTACTGCACTGGCCAGATGAGTTAGATGGGGAAGGGCTGTACCCAGGCTTCTGCTGATCTGATCGGTGCTGCTATGATGACAAGATGAAACCCGGGGTCCCCCTTCAAGATACTTGAGATTTATAGTGGATTCCCTCTCGTGCAAATCTATACCAGTTAGTCATCACATGCATATGCAAAATCTGTGTGAATCATCATATGCATATGCAGTTAGACATCTGTGGCGCCTTCTAGGTGTTGTTTTAATGCTGCCACATTCACCTTCAAAGAGGGTGCTTCCAAAAGCAGGCACTTGCTGCTGACTCCCAAGGCGTCCATATGTCCAGTCTTCTTTCAGTGAGCTCACTTAACAGGTCTTATTGTTCTTGGACCTGGCTTTTATCCCCCCTCTAACCTTGTAGAACAAGACTACTCAGCTCTGGAAACCCCGGGGGCACAATGATACTCTCAGCACATGCTGAGGGCTGCAACTTAAGGGTGGTTACATATACAGGCAGTCCCCGGGTTACGTACAAGATAGGGACTGTAGGTTTGTTCTTAAGTTGAATTTGTATGTAAGTCGGAACTGGTACATATTGTAGGGGAAACTCTAGCCAAACATTTCTCCAGAGCTCAGTTTTATTCTCCCACACCTCACTTCCCTCAGGCCTTTATTCTCAAGCTGAGGTGTCTGCTGAGAAAAGCCGCTCCGCGTCTCCCTGGTCTGCTGGGGGGAAGCAGCTAGTGCGGGGTTGCCTCACCCCGTTTGTAAGTAGGGATCCGATGTAAGTCGGATCCATGTAACCCGGGGACTGCCTGTATAGTACTGGCAAAAATATATATGCAAATAGCTTCTTTCACAGTGATGGGCATGAATACAAAGATTAAGCTGTGGCACCAGACCCAAACGTGGCCAGGGTGAGCCAGTCAGCACCTCTCAGGTTCTGCCCACAAGGCTAAGCAGCCAGCACTTCCCACAATGCCCCAGTGCCCCCAGGACCTCCTCCCTGGGGTCTATAAACTCTGTGTACCTGTCTCTCCAGGGGTAGGCAGCCTCGTCTGTCCCCTGGCTGCTGGGGAGAACCAGGTCAAGGCATAACAGCCCTGGCTCTCCCCCCTCCAGACACTGAGCGGGGGAGGTGGGCCAGACTGAGGCTGGCCCAGCTCTCTCCCCTCCAGGTGTCAGGGGCTTGGGCTTGTCAGAGACCGTGGCTGGCCTGGCCCTCTCCCTCTGGCTGCAAAGGGGGAGGCATTCTGGCTTCAGCCCCTCGCCGGCAAGGCCCCTTACCCCTGGACCATGGGTGATGCCACACATGTCCTGCACATCCCCCTTCTCCACCTGAGCCCCCATGAGGCTCTGTGGCTCCTCCACCTGAGCCCATCCCCGGCTCCCACACTCCTCCTCCTTCACCCGAATCCCTGTGGCTCCTGTACCCCCTCTTCCTGCACCCGAGCTCCTGTGAGGCTGCACGGCTCCTCTGTGCCCCCACCTCTCCCCACTGCTCCTGCACAGCTGCCTCTTCCACTCCCTCCCTTCCCCCTGAGCCCCTGCAGCTTCTGCATACCTTTTCCTCTCCCCTGAGCCCCCGCAAGGCTGTGCAGCTCCCACATGCCCCCCCTCCCCCAAACCCTGAAAAGGTTTGACGGCTCCCATGCCTCTCCTTCCACTGGCGGCTCCCGCGTCCCCCCCCTCCCAAACTCCTGAGAGTTCGCACGGCTCCCTTGCACCCCCTCCTCCCTCTCCCCACCCGGGCCCCCTCCCAGCTTCCACACGCCTCTCCTCCCCTACCCCAGACAGCAGAGGGGCTGCGGGTTCATGTGGTGGCTGCAAGAGGGATGCTAAGGGGCCGGTGGTGTATGTGGGAAGACTTAACTGCTGGTCCTTGAGGCACAGAGCTGGTGGGGGAGAGGTGGAGGGGGAGCTTTAACTCCGAGCCAGGGAAAGGGGACAAAGTAGGGCAGCTGCATGGCCTCTCCCTGGAGCACCAGGGTGGGGGGAAGCTGCATGCCCTGGGATCCAGCAGTTCATGACTCCCACCACCCCAGGCCTCACTGGGGCAGATCAAAGAATGGGGAAGGCCACGTGGCTCCCATGGAGCATGGAGAAGAGGAAGGGCCACGTGGTGGAGGGAGGAGCTGTGGGATACAGAGTGACTCATGACATCACTCTGTTGTCTCTCAGGAAAAATCTTTTTAAAGTATAGTAAGTCTAGGAATTAAAATTAGGCACAAATATGACACTGGTTTTTGATGAATGATCAAAAACATAGATGAACACAATATAATGGGGGGTCAGTCAAAGTGGCTTTTATAAAGGGAAATCATGCCTCACAAATATATTGGAATTCTTTTAGGGACTCAACAATTATGTGGACCAGGATGATCATTTGATATAGTGTGCCTGGATTTTAAGACAGCCTTTGAAAAGGTCCTTCGCCAAAGGTTCTTGAGAATAAGAAGGTATGGTAAGAGGGAAGGTCTTCTCAAGAATCAGTAACTGGTTAAAAGGAAGGAAACACAGGGTAGGAATTAAAGGGTCAGTGTTCATAGGGGAGAATGGTAAATAACAGAGTACCCCAAGATCTGTCCTGGAATCAGAGCTGCTTAGTATTTTCATAAGGGAGCTGGAAAAGATGTGTAAATAGTGAGGTTGCTAAGCTGGCAGACCATACAAAATTACTGAGGATTGTTAAGTCTAAAGCTCACTGTGAAGAGTTACAAAAGGTTTTCAGAAAATGAAATTTGGTGTTGAGTGCAAAGTACAGGCAGTCCCCGGATTACATACAAGATAGGGACTATAGGTTTGTTCTTAAGTTGAATTTGTATGTAAGTCGGAACTGACTCCAGACTCAGCCGCTGCTGCTGAAACTGACCAGGGGCTGACTACAGGAAGCTGGAGGCAGAATTGCTCTGCCCCCAGCTTCCTGGAATCAGCCACTGATCAGTTTCAACAGTGCCTGAATCT